ATTCATTGATTTGTGTTCTTATTTTTCCCTGGACTCACATGAGTCTGCCAATTTTGTTTGTGGACAAATGTTCCAGGAGCCCATAAATATTTACTATAAAATGACTACATCTTATATCTAAAGTGTTAAACCCTGCAACAATTTGCAAAGAAGTGCATGAAAGCTTATTTCTCACCAGTTTTTTTTTAGTGATGAATGTAAAGCAACGTTGGATGGACCTAATGGCTGGGCTAGAAGTTGAATTCCCAATGGAAATATTCAACCCATAGAACTTGTTGGTGGAGTAATATTTGGGGCTAGTATTTTAGGCAGTAAAATTATTGGTCCCTTAAAGTTGATGGTTCAAGATAAGTGCTAAAAATTATTGTAAGTTCTTGGACATGACATTTTTGAGTGTTACTGGTCAAAATCAACAAGCTTTAGATTGTAAAAAATAGTATATTCACATATTAAAATGCTTCTTCATATTCTGAAAATCTTGAATATTGCCCATTTTGCCAAAAAAGGTTTCAAAGATATCACATTAAAAGAATGGCTCTCAGCATCTCTAAATATTAAACCAGTAGAAAACTTGTCATCTACCATTAAAAGAGATGTATATGAGAGTGGCAAATAATATTCATAGCATTGCTGCAAGTAATGCTTATGTTGAAACAGTAGGAAAATTAACAGAATCAGTAAAATGACGAGGATTCCATATTAACTTGTAAAATAATAAAATAATTTATTTAGATATACATGTTTTTATAGTCTATATCTGTTATTTTTTGTTTATAAATAAAAAAAATTATGTTGTACACAGTTTGTATAATAAAACTCTAGACCCTCAAAACATTTTTAATAAGATAGATATTACTATAAGATATAAGTAAAAACTAATAATATATTGCTCATATAAATTTAAGTATATCATGAAAATGTTAACAGCATCAGCTGGCTAATACCAGTTTTACTGTAAAAATGTTTACTTTCATGGCATTTAGTCATTTAGCAGAAATGTTATACCTCACCTTTATACTTAGTCATGATTTAAATTTAGTCATCTTATTCTAGCATTAAAGAGGTAGAGTGTGAAAGAAGAAAAAAAATCTTATTTTGATGGAAAAACCTAAAGATATTTTATATAAATGTTAGAATGAAATGGCCAATCTTGCAAATGATTCATTTTTACTTTGTCAGTTTTACTCATGTGTCTGTCTATGCTGTTGAATTTTTGCTTTATAAAAAAATGATCTCTTTTTACTTGGTGGCTACTGATTAAGACTAGGAATTAGTTATTGAGAAAAGTTCAGTTCCCTATTTTATATTAATTTATTTTTCACTTAAAATTCAATTTTTATTGATACAGAATCTTCAAATATATAAAACTTCATAATTATTTATATCAAAATTTGTGACATCTCCATGAACTTAAAATTATATAATTATTTAACTTGGATGAAATAAAAGTGAATACTATGGTGGAAAAAAACTTTTGTCCTATGAAATCCTCTTTTAGTTTTTATTAATGATTAGAATTTGATGAGTCTGTTAACTCTTAAATTTCTGGGATTGACTTTAATATTTTTATTTCTTATAAATTTTATTCACGCTCATGACTCAATTCAAGCAAAAGTTATTCACTATTAGTTAAATTTATTAATACTACTATATAGAGAATTAAAAATAATGTCAGAAAATAAAGTTCTCCAGACTTATAAGACCACTCATCAAACTTCTTTAAGTTCCTCATATTTCTACTGTGTTAAAAAGATATTTTTGTCCTGTGTAATTTTTAAAATATTTAAAGAAAATCACAAACAAAACATTAAGATTTTAATAAAGAACCATACATACATAGAAACACACACACACAGATTTTCCAATTAATAAGAACTTTATATTTTTGATACTATAAAATTATATAAAAATATAGAGAACTTTGAAAAAATTTTACTTAGGAAAATATTAAACTGAAACAATCTCTGGAATTTTATAGAAAAGTAGTGTTGAAAATAATTTATCATTGTTTAATATATATTTTTACCTCAGTTTATTGATAGTTTTTGGCAGATTTCATTGTCATTTCAACCATATTAAAGTTCCTGGATTAATTTCATTATTTAATTGTAATGTTGAGAAAACAAACTTAATTTAAAATTTGTTTATTTCACTTTTGGATTTATGCTAAAACAATTGAATGATAACCTTTAATAGACTGTGTTAATTAAAACTTACTGAGATTAAAGCAAATAGATTCTTATAAGAGATAAAATGATCACATCTTTAAAAATATTGCTTGTCCTTTTCTCATTCATGCAGTAACTTATTTAGAGTTTCATATGACAATTTATTAAAACAAATATTTAATAAATTCATTCTTATTTAAAGATGGAAATGGAACCCTTTTTTTTACATTTATATGTAAAGACATGTATATCATTTATTTTTCGGTAAAATATGAAATTTGATAAAAATGCTTGAAAAATCTATCATTTCATATTATTGATTTTTTTTTATTAGTACTATAACATGCATTATATTTCTAAAAATAAATTTTGAAAATATTTTTATGAATCTGAAATTAATTTGAGCATATCTTATATTTTTGTTATTTTTGGTAACCTCAGCAGCTGTATTCCTCAAATGCATAAAAATATTTACCTACAGAAAAATCCATTTTATCACTGCTGCTACTACTAGTATTACTATTGCTTGTCAAGATATTAAAACTACTAAAAGTGTGAGTCATGATTCTGTCTGTCATAAAAATTTGATTTATAAAAGTAATTTACTAAAATTAAAAAAATCAGTTTTTTTTCATCTTTTGTTATTGAGAAAAACAAAAACCAACAAAAAAAAAAAAACACTCAATTCTTGATTCTCTTTCTCCTTCCAATCTCAGAGGATAGAAATTCAATCCTGTTTGTACAGAAATTCCAATGTAGCAGCAACATTCTTGGTGAATACTGTTACCAGTAACCTTCACCACACAGCTGACAGACTGTTTAGTCCAAGTATAATGACTGCTATGTAATATTCAGGCTTTAAAAAGTTCTAACCTGCTTTTATATCAACATATTCACCAGTATAGTTTATGAAAAGTAATTTTTTTTTGTTTATGCATTTTCTTTTATTTCCAGTTTTTATTCCATCATGGCTGATTTACTTATGCTTATTTCAAGTTGTTTCTAATTTTATATAAAGTAAAATGAGACAATATCTCTCTTTTGCAAGTAATATATTTTGAAATATTTTATGCCCAGGTTTGAAAGGTTTTTTTTATCATTCCTTCTTTGGGTTTTAAAATCTATCATTATAATTGCCATTGGGAGGTGCTATTTTTTTTAATGGGTAACTTTTTTTAAAAGTATAATTTTTTCATTTTATTTGATATTGCTGAAATCCTATCAACTATTATTCACTTTGAGATAAATGCTTTGAATTCTACTTTATATTATGACAAGTTTATAATTTATAGATATGACCTGTTATAGGACGTTAAACTGTTAAAATTGATTTCATATGGGCATATCTTGCTTTAGTTCTTCAAAATATATTTTGTAAAAAATCATAGTTTTATAATTTATCATTTTAATTTTACTATTTATTCTTTTAATCTTGTATAAAGTCAAAATCCAATTTTTTTAGCAGGTTAAATAAGTATTTTTAATTGTAGCTTTAAGTTTCCAACTTAAAAAAGATTATAAAATTGTAGAATTATTTTTATATAATTTTATAGTATCAAAAATATAAAGTTCTTATTAATTGGAAAATCTGTGTGTGTGTGTTTCTATGTATGTCCAAAATGAAAATTTAAAAATAGTGAAGAATATGATTTAGATTTCACAAGTACACACTAATTGATTGGAGTAGGATTAGAAAGACTACTCTCAAATACTAATCTGAGTACTTCAAAAGATGTGAGGGACAATTACATTTCTGAGGCCAGCTGAGAGACCTACACTGATGAACCAAATGACCTGCCTAATTAAGTGTTAATCTTCTATATGCCTGCAAAACCTCTTACCCAAGTAGGCATGGACTTGACCATACCTCTAAAGGTTTTGTATGGGATCTATTGCCAGAATGCTAACAGAAGATCCTTTAACTGCTGCCAGTTATGTAGCAGAACTTATGCTGAGTAAATTTGTTAGTACAAAATATCTTGTAAATGCTTAATGGGGTTCAGAGTTTCCTTATTAGGGAAACCTAATAAAGTCTACATCGTGTTCCTAAAAAACATTCTCATGCAACTTGTACAGTGTAGCAGGAAACATTATACTGCCTCCACCAGATAAATTGTTTTCTTCCAGGGCATCTTGGTATCACTGTTTGCCTAGGATAAAAATGCACATGTACTCTGCTGTCCACTTTATTCAAGAGAAACCATGGCTCATCAGACCAGACAATCTTCTTTCAGTTCATGTCTAGTATGTGTTATGACACATTCATTTGTTTAATTTGATTAAAAATATATGCAATTTGTGCCATAGAAACCTTTATGCTGGTTTGTACTTGGAGAGAAAGCCTCTGTTCACTTCTTGCACTTATAAATTTTGGTCATCCAATGTCTTGTTCGCAGTTGGTGTTTTTTTTCTTCTTGGACCACAATTATGAGACGGTAGTTGGTATTCTTGTGAAATGTGACTAGTTATAAAGTTTTGGCTAATGAGTGTATTTTCTTTGTTTTATTAATTGATAAAACACAAAATGAAATTAAGCTTGGCTTTATATATCCTGCATAAGTTTTAATGTGATATAAATTATAACTGAATTTATCCATTTTCTTTGTATAGAAATAAAATTAGTTAAATTTTGTACAGAGATGGTTTAATATTAGTAATTTTTCATCTGTTTCATTTTTTAAATTTAGATCACATGTATACTATATATATATTTATTTCAGATCACTTATCCAATTAAATTATTATATGAGACATCAAAATGTTATTCTTTATCTTGGCATCATTGCATTTATATTAATCATTTACTTATTATAATTCCTAATGTTGACAAACATGTTGGCTTTATTTTTAATTTCAGAAACAGGCCAAGATCCTGTTGAAGAGTGTGCTGATTTGGAAGATAGGTTCTATAACAATGATTCATTCAAGGTAAGACTTATTTGTCCTTGGTTAAATATTTTCTATACAGCAATAGGTTATTGGTAGTAGCTGCTGTTATGATAAAAGCCATAAATAACCTATGTAAAAAGAAGATAAAAGGAAAATTACATTATCAGTATGATATAAACATACAATCACAAATAATAATTGTGAATATACAACAATATATATTATCTATTTAATTGATTTAACTGATCCCTTCTACAGGATTTCTAGTTTCTGGATGTCATTGTTACTATATATTTAATAATGATATGCAATTTTTGTCATTTATTAGATTCAAGTTATAAGATTAGATTTATTTTTCTTTCTTCAGCAAATCATTTTTCAGTAAAGCCAGTTTTGAAACAATGCCTCGTAATATACAAATAATTACTCAAGGATAACTACAGAAATTAAAATTATAAAGTATATGATCTCTGGTTGAGGTAAATTCTGAGCCAGTTTTTCCTTTCAAAACATTGGGAAGGACTTTTCTGTGTCAGATATTTGATAATAAACAAAGAATAATGTTTTTTTTTATCCAAATTGAAATGGACTAAGTTCAGTCTTACCTATCTACATTTTAATATGCAGTTCTATACTCTAAGACCCTAGTACCAACAGTGGGAGTGACCACCATACTGGAAGAACATTGTAGATCTATCTTCATAGTGCTGCTTAAGAAGCCAGTTATAAATGAATGCAAATTCTATGGAACAATCAGCTTAATGAGCCATATAACTAAGCTTATAACCTAATGTTTAATGAACAGAGTGCACAACAGAATTAAACCAGGAATAAAGTAAAAACTGTATAACTTTATTAAAAAATACTGGAACAAGAAATGCAAACTTTATGATCAGAATTCAATCAGAGGGGGAGAAAAAAATTATACCTATGTGTAATGAAAACAGGACAAGAGATTCTGTCTAGTAATCGTTTATTCAATTAAGAATACTACTACTCATCTGACTTGACAGCGGAAGTATACAGCTTTTATAGCTTGGATTATCTAAGAGGAGATAATCCATATTCACAACATTCTCTCCACCAAATTTCTCACTGATAGGAAGAAAGTCCCTTAAATGTCCAGGCTCCCTACGAGTTCACAGTGGCCGCCTCAGCAGTCCATGATTCGTGGTGGAGTACTTTCGAACAGGGAGGCTCTTCAGTGCGAGCCTGTCTGTGGGCTCTAAAATACCTTGCTCCGAAATGTTTCTTTTCTCAGAGGAGCAGGCCGTTCCGCGTCAGAGTCAGTCTCTGGATGAACACGTTTATTCGGTGCTAGCCCTTCATCTGTCAGGGTTTCAGGTGTTGGCCCATCCGAAGTGTCTGCCGGGGCCTCAACGGAGACAGTGTCATCAGGCGGCGTGTCAGGAACAATTTCAGTGCCATGATCTTCGGAGGGGCTTCAGTGTCAGGGGTAGTTGGTCTGTCCTCAGGGGCTATCCACGGTCCAGGTGCGTCTCCGGCCGGTGCTAGGTCCCTGAGAGACACATTAGACTCTCTACCATCTGCATGTCGTACTAGCACGTACTGAGGGTTCGCCTCTATAAGCTCTACCTCGTCCACCAAGGGATCGTTCTTGGTGTAACGTGCATGTCGTCTCAGAAACACAGTACCGGGTCGAGAGAGCCAAGATGGAAGCGAAGGTCCCGCCGAACTCCGTCACTGAAAAGGTAGAAACCTTTCGTGTGGGGTGGCATTCGTGGTGGTACACAATAGGGAACGAATGGCATATAATGCGACAGGAAGGAGATTTTCCCAATTATCAATTGAACATCCATTATTTGAGGCAGCCAATTGAACGGTCTTCCAAATAATGCCGTTATATCTTTCGCATTGGCCGTTACCCTTAGGGTTGTAGGGAGTTGTCCGACTTATAGCTACTCCTCATTCCTGTAGAAATTGCCGAAGCTGCTCTGACATGAAAGAAGCCACTCGGTCCGAATGTATATAGGCAGGGGCTCCAAAGATGGCGAACAGTGAGCAGAGGCATTGTATAATTTCAGCAGCCGATATGTCTGAACAAGGGAAGGCAAAAGGAAACCGTGAATATTCGTCGATAACCCGTTAATATATATCTGTTCCTTGTTTTTACTTGGTAGCGGTCCTTTAAAATCAAGATTGAGTCTTTCAAACGGTTGTGTTGCTTTTTATTAAAACGCCAGTTTGGGGTTTATAAAACCGAGGCTTTATTTCAGCACACGTTCGACAAGAATTTGTAATTCTTTTTACCTCCTCCACTGAGAAAGGCAAGTTTCTACACCTCACTGCATGAACCATTCGAGTAATGCCCGGGTGACAGAGATTGTTATGCAGCGTTCGGAGTTCGTCCCCGCTTGATGCCGTACAGCATGCTCTTGACAGTGTATCAGCTGTTAAGTTCTCCTTGCCAGGTCGGTAGCTGACGTCAAAGGAGAAACAAGATAGCTCAATTCTCCACCTCACTATTTTCTCGTTCTTTACTTTACTCGTAGTTTTAGAGTTGAACATAAAAGCAACTGATTTCTGGTCAGTAATAAGTTTAAAGTGGCGTCCGATCAGGTAGTGTCGCCATTTTCTTAATGCCTCGACTATGGCGTAGGCTTCCTTTTCAATTGCAGGGTGTTGTCGTTCAGCCTGTGAGAGGGTCCTTGAAAAGAAGGCTACAGGACGATCAGCTTGTTTCAAAGAAGCAGCAATAGCACAGTCTGACACATCCGTTTCAACAACCAGAGGAATATTTTGGTCTATTGTTGTAATTGCAGATTTCGCAATATCCTTTTTCAGTCCCTCGAATGCCTCAACGGCTTGATGGGACAGAGGAAACGTCTCTACTTGTGTCAATGGATGTATCTTTTCTGAGAACGAAGCAATCCATTGAGAGTAATGAGCAAACATGCCCATAGCACATCGAAGGGAAGGCTGGTTGTGAGGGACAGGCATCTGGATTAAAGGTTTCAATTGATCTGCGTCCGCTGCCATAAAACCTTTGCTTATGGTATACCCCAGTAGGTTTATTTTGTCCAGTCCAAACGAGCATTTGTCGTCGTTTAGGGTAAGGTTGTATTTATCGACGGCGGACATGAACCGTCTGAGATTTTCGTCGTGTTCCTTTCTATTATGGCCACATACTGTGACGTTGTCGATGTACGCATAAATGTGCCTTCCAGTTTCTCATCCGTTATGATTTGGTTGACTATCCTTTGGAAGCTAGCTACCCCATTCGTAACGCCAAAAAGGAATCCTTGAAATTGATATAGTCGACCGTTCGCCTCGAAAGCAGTGTATGGCTTGTCTCTAGGTCTAATGGCAATCTGATGTACGCGCTTTTTCAAGTCCAGAGTACTAAACATACGATATTTGGCTATTTCGCCTATCATTTCATCTATCCTGGGTAGTGGGAAGGCGTCCAAAAGAGTAAATCTATTTATGGTTTGGGAGTAATCTATAACCATTTCTCTTTTATGGTTGCTAGAAGTGGTTATAACTACCTGAGCCCTCCAGGGTGATTTGCTAGGCTCAATTATACCCTCCTCAAGTAGTCTTTTTTATCTCAGAGTCAATGAATTTTTATTATTATAAGAAAAACGTCTGCTTCTCACTGCTATGGGTTTGCAGTTTTCAGTTAGGTTTTCGAAAAGTGACTGGTACTGGATTTTTGCTGTCGCCAATCCACAAACGGAATTTCAACCTGTGAGTGTTGCTGCAAAAAATCGTGTCCCAGTATTATTTCGCAACAAAGGTTTTTCATTACGGATAATTTAGTGGTTTTATAGGAGACGTCATTAAATAGTAAGTCCACCAAACAATAACCACTTACTTGCGCGAACAATGACACGTTTGCCATTGTTACTCTGCTGGGGAGGGACAAAATACAATTTGTTGGTTTTACCAAGCTTTCTTTGATAAAATTTCCTGAGCTCCTGGTATCGAGCAGGGCATTTGTGAACCTCCGTTAATTTTCACTTTTACAATAGTTTTTTGAAAGGCAGTCGGGGGAGGCGGCTAAAGTTGCAGAAGTATTTTGACGAGTGGATTTGTATAGAGAGTTTTTAGAAGACTTGCATACCTTTGAAAAATGACCAAGTTTTCCACATTTATGACAACGAGTATCTCTGGCAGGGCATGAGACTCGTAGGTGTTTAGATAAGCATAAAAATAGCAAGTGTCCTTTTTTAAAGCGGCAGTGACCGATTGTTCTTGAAGCTTCGTCGGACTATCGTCATGAGGGGGGACAGTAAGAACAGGTGGGTTTAACGCGGCGCCCACGGTGTCAGGCTGTAAATAAGAACTAGACTGCTGTATAGCACTTTCGAAGATATAGGCTTGCTCGTAAGCTGTTCTAAGTGTAAGGGTCTTATTCTCAAGAAGACATTGTCTTATCTGAGTATTGCATAAGCCGTTAATGAAGGCGTCCAAAATGTGTAGATCTTGGGCCTCTAATGCCGTCATTGGGCAGAAGTTGCAATCTTTGCTCAGTGTCCGAAGGCTCTTAAGGAAATGATCCAATGTCTCGCCTGATTCTTGTCGGCGAGTCGCAAGTAGGTGTCTAGAAAATATCTCATTTTGGGGCTTTATGTATGTAGCGTTCAGTACATCGATTGCTTTTTCGTAGGTAACATAATCCGAGATAATTTCGTTGACTGTGTGAGACAGGTAGTTGGTTAGAGCGCAACGCTTATTGATGGGACATCCGGTCTTTCTGAATGTAGAACCTCGATGAAATTTGTAAATGTAAATGTTTCCCGCACTTGTCGGCTGAATCGCTTTCTGGATCTGTGGTAAGTCGCTCAGGTCGCATAAATTGTTCCATTCTTAATTGAATAAAATGTTATGAAAACAGGACAACAGATTCTATCTAGTAATCGTTTATTCAATTAAGAATACTACTACTCATCTGACTTGACAGCGGAAGTATACAGCTTTTATAGCTTGGATTATCTAAGAGGAGATAATCCATATTCACAACACTATGTTTCATAGACTATGTAAAAGCATTTGATAAGGTACAATACAAAGATCTATTTGAATTACTAGGAAAATTTGATTTATTTGGGAAAGATATTAGAATAATCTATAAAATATACTGGGAACAAATCACCAGCATAGATATAGAAAATTAATTGAGCAAGTACACAAAATAGAAAGCAGATGAGTCTTCTCATTGGATTTATTTAACCTTACAGAACTAAAAGTCCTACCATGATTTATTACTGGTGGACACAATTTTAGCAATATAAGATATACATATGACACTGTGTTGATGGTAGTTACAGAAATAAAACTACAGGATCTCCTAGACAAGGTCTTAAAGGAAAGCAAGAAGAAAGGACTAACCATCAGCTGTAAGAAAATAGAGTGTGCAGTCATTAACAAGCAGAACTGCTCAAAATGCAAGTTATGAATTAGAGACACCAGAATCAAACAAGTACATAAATTTAACTATCTGGGAAGAAAATGTGACAGAAATTTAAATGTACATTGGAATAGCAAAAGATACCTTTCAAAATCTAAACAAGGTATCAAGAGATAAGAAAGTTTCATAAGAAAAAAAGAAAAGAGTGTGGAACAGGGATGCCATATCAATCTTCTTATATGGTAGTGAATGCTGGACAACTTTCTCCCAGATGAAGAGGGGACTTGAGGTAACAGAAATGTCCTTCTACACAAGGATGCTGAGAAAATTATGGTCAAAATATATGTGCAACAAGAGCATTTTAAGGGAAATGAGAACAAAAAGAACATTTGTACTTAAAAATTGGAAAGAGACAGTTGAAATTTCTGGAACACTCGAAGAAATAGGGCTTGGAAAATTTAACTCACAATACATTGAAGGCAAGAGGAGCAGAGAAAAACAGTAACCTACAAGCTTGTGTAAATTGGGATTGGGAGAAATATTAAGGGTACAAACACTACTTAGAGCTACCAAGGATAGGAAGTTAATCACTCACCATGGTGGAGTAATGGTTAACAGCTTCAATTGAGGAATCAAAGTGCCAAATTCAAATTCCAGTTGAGTTTGTTACATTCAGTTACATGCTAATTCCACTTAATAAAGGTATGAATCCATCTCTTCTCTCCTCAGCTAGGGGTAAATAGCAGAACAAATTGAGTCCCATATATATCCTTGGTTGGCAATTAGTGCAGGAGAAGGAAAACTGAATTCAAACCAGCCTAATGAGTGTTGGGTGCCGTCAAGCGGTCTTGCTCAGGAAACACCACTGCTGTTGTAGCTACAGTAGATGTGAAGCCCCTACAACCCTAAAGAGTTATGGGATTTGTAATCATGATTTGCATTTACTCTATATTTGTTCTGTTTTAAAAATTAATAATATACTAGAGTATCAATGGAAAATATGTTTTAGAACATATTCATTTGTTGTATAATTTAGGCCTTTCTAAAAACTGAGTTTGGGAATTATTATTGAAAAGCTAACATCAAGAAATATATCTATTTTTCTTGCCAGATTTCTAACTAAAATCAACCTTTTGCTACAGGTTCCTTTCACCTGTAAAAAGTAAAAAAGTCATTGGATATTCAAAATGCTGAAGGTTCCCTGTAACTGGGCTCAAAAACCATAAAATTACAGATAAAAACTATCATTTCACCAATATTTTCTGAATGGTATTGATTATGTGTATATGCTTGGTAGTTGAAGCTACTGATTTAATAATATAATACTTGTTATAAGTTACTGATATAATGGAATTTTTATTGATTTATAATTCATTACAAGTACAATATAGACAAAAATATTAAAAAATATATGTCCTCTCATATTTTTGTGCATCTGTTTAATGTTATTATTCATTCAAATACTGGTCTCTTAGTGTCTTGATATGCCATTTGTTCTGTAATATTTTTATTTTGACTTGTTAGATGAGATTAAATTTTGAGGGCAGTAAATGATAAAAGTGTACCTGAGATAACTACAATCAACTTAATTCAAATGTCTGAAAGCCAAATAAAATAATATTATTGATATTCAGATTTATAAAGTCAATATCTCTTAAGTGTCTTTGCTCTTTGTTAATATTCTGTATATCACAGTTCATTTTTAATGTTGTTTATCTAAAAGAAATAGTATTTTTACATTTTATCTCTAATTTTATATATTATTGATAAACCATTTAGCTTTTGAAGAAAGTATCATGAAATATTTAAGTTTGAAATGAAATATACTTTTAAAGTTACTTTTTTCTAATTTTAATATTATCATAGAAATTTTATAAAATTGTTTAATACTTTGAGGTATTGGATAAATGAGGAAAATGTATTAATATTGATGCTTCAAATTAGCTTATTATCTTCCCACTTCTCTGTGAACATTTAATCCTTTACATTTTTTCATTCCAGTCACAGTTTTGGAAGATGTGTTAGGGCAGCATTTTTTCCCTTAAATTTACATAGTTCAAAAAAAGTTATGTAATATGTTATGGATATATATTTCGTATTTTCTGTTGGTATAATGTAGTGAGTTTTTATATTGACAGCTTAGTTTTGCCTAATTTTGTTTCTTGAGAATCAATTTGTTTTTATTTCAGCATGGAGCTCAAGCAGATGCTAACCCTTTTGCTGCAGAAACACAGATGGAAGCTCATGCAAGTGAAGATGTAAAGTAAGTCCATTATATGAAATTTTCTTCTGGTTATACTTTGTGCATTTAAAAATTTATGTGAGTACATTAATTATATATGCACAAAACATGAAAACTCAATGTATGAACATCCTTTCTATGTTCAAACTTGATTATGCCTGATTAATATATGGACTTTTTCCTAAAACTAATCATTATATTCAAGTGGCTTTTGAATTTTAAGAAACATATCTGCTGCCTTATTCTCTAAATGCTATACTCTCTTTTCTTCATATTTTACCAAAATTCATGAAGGTGATGATTGTATGGAAAGAACATTATTTTCCTATAGTAGGAATATAAAAATGATAGATGTATTATTCAGAAAATTATTTGTCTAAAATGTATTTTATCATATATGTATTCTTTCATTTCAGAGGAATTCAAAATTTCTTTTTTTTCTTTCTACTATAGTTCATTATTACTGAAGAATTTTTCTTTGGTTGTCATATTTATATCTCTCATTGATTCCTTTTTCCAACAGCATTTTAATTATCATGCTTTTCAGTATTTCAATGGGCCTACAGTTTTTGTTATAATCCAATGCACAAATATCTCTATCTATAAACGGCAGGATGTGTGTGTGTGTGTGTGTGTGCGTGTAACAATTGCGGCCGCAATTTTCAATGGATTTGCACCAAAATTTACATGCACATGCTCCAAAATTTACATGCTCCAAGTTAGCGGGAAGGCCAAGACCAACTTTGCATTTTCCAACTCCCATCGATAGTCGAAATAATCGATTTTTTCATGCTTCTACGGGAGTTTTCATGTAGTTTGTGGCCATTTTCTACTGGCCAGAGTGAGAGCCTATAGCTGGCTGCCACGAATAGGCAGAAAGATTTTATTGGCCAGCGTGAGAGCTAACAGCTGCCTGACATGAATGTTAACTAGCATGCTAGCATGCAAAAAAAATTGATAGCTGCATTCGTCACAAGTGGGAAAAATTTAAATCTGCATGGCACTTTACTCCAATTGGCTCATTCGTTTGCTTAAACTCAACGTTGATTCTGATTCCGCAGAACTGGGTTGGATGTGAAAAAGTATTTGTTGTTAACATTCTTTTTTCATTTGGTTTTTCCAGTTACGAGTCCTTTTTTAAAGCTGATCGTTTTGTGTTCATTTTGCTTAGTTCTTTTTTCATAACAGATTTAATGTTTAGTATAGAGCTTAGAAAAAATTCTCAGTGTGAGATAGGCAAGAAGTAAGGCATGTAGCAACATCAGCACGGCAAAGGGCACTCCTTTAAAGGCAAGGAAGGGCAAAAATATTTTAAGTCAAGTGATAGCAATTGCTGTATGAGTCGTATGATTTTTGAATCAAGCACGGGCAATGCAGGGCCATGCTGCTAGTACCTCTATAAAAATAATTTTATTACCTCCTTGTTGTAAAATATAAACATATATTGTGAGAAGTTTCTGTAATGAAAATGCAAAAATACAATAGTTTAAGCTAATTATTCATTATGTATTTGAAACTGAATGATTTAGTGTTTTAGCAGAGTCATCTAAAATCATTTGTTAGAAATATTCCTTATTCTTCCTTTCCAAATTGTTTCAGCATATATGCACACTGACATATTGTGTGTATATTGCAGAGATACATATATGTATATATGTATCTTTCAGATATTTAATTAATTCTTTTTCCTTTATTCAGAATTTTTTATAACTTATGTTTGTGCAATTTGTTTATAAAAAACTTAGGTTAAAATTTAAGCAGCAGCTCTTTTGAGAAATTAGTTTTTAATATGACCCAGTCTATATACATAAATAAAGTTATGTTAGGTAATACTTAAAATTCTGTTCTTTATTACATTTTACTGTTTGCTATTCTACTTAGTTTGTTATGCTATGCAGAGTATAGAAACTTTTTCCAATTCTGTATGAAAATAAATTAATATTCAAGATCTTAAATTTTATCCCAATTGCTATTGTAGGAAGAATTGTTACCATAAATTTATCATTGATATTTTTACAAAAGATCAAATTTTTATCACATTTGGATAGATCTGATAACTAAAGGATCTCTGATTCTTTCCTATATGATATATTGATGATATTCATAACCATATTCATGTATATAATAATAAAATAATATTTCAAACCAAAAGAAAAAATATACTTTGTTTTTTGTTAAAGGAATTGACAACTTCATGATCACAGTGGAGAAAAGAAAACTGAAAAATTTGAGATCCCATCTGGAATTTCACTGACACTGTTAGCTTCATACTTGTAAAATTTATGAAATCACTTAGGAATTAAAGTTAAACTGGAGTAGGTGGATTTTATGGCCTGTTTGGTAAATATTTTACTTAGCTTGGAAAATAGAATTGGACATTTACAACTTAGATAAAATTTTGAATCTGACATCAACAGCTTAATGTTATTTATTAATTTCTGTCATATACTGTACCATGTTAGTGTCAGTGTGACTCCTATTTATGTGTTCTATTTTTAATGTATTCATAATAGCAATTCACCTGTATCAATATTGTGTTTGGTGATGTGTAACTATTGTTTTCTGAAATCACTTCCCATATCAGTGCCTACATTCAATCTCTAAATATACAATTTATCATAGCATATGGATAGCTTGACATATTTTGTCACTTTTATGGTCTACTTACTATATTATGTATTACACATTTTGATATTGCTTAATAGTAGAACAAAGCACTTTATTGGCTGGGTTACTACTAGACAGAATGAAAACTCCAATCTAAAGCACAGGCAGACATTTTCTAATTCAGTTTTAAAATTTCTGTTACCCAAGTGTTATAAATTGATGCTCTGTTTTAGTATTGAAATACCTTGTCAAAATCACTTCATTAGAATAGTTTCTATTTATCATTTAAATTTTTTTCAAATATAAGTTTGCAAATTATGAATACACCATGTTTTTCTCATGAAAAGCTAAATCATAAATTACTTTAAAATATTATAGGCATACAGAAGTCTCCCTAAAAGCTTTATTTTTTATTTTTTATTTATTAGAAATCTATTTTTTCTACTGTGCACTCTCTAATTTTGAAAAATGAAAGTGTCACATTTTGGATAGTATAATTCATTTTACATTTATTTCAGGATTCTGTGTTGGCATCATTTTTCCAATGACATTTAGGTTGATATCAGTCAGACATTTTGCATTAAATAGTATTCACTTGAATTTCAGAATTTCTAAAAAAAAAAAATAATTTTTGTTAAAAAACAAGCTACAAGCACAATCTAAATAATCAATCATAATAAATAATCAATCATAATAACTTTGATTTAGATGAACCAACTGCATTATTTAAGTTTTTTGTTTATTCATTTATAAAGTATTGATAGTACGATGTATATTTCAATATGAGAAGTTTTAAATACACTGTTGATCATATCCAAAACTTCAGATTTCAAATTTCTTAAAGATACATGCATTTTTTTTTAATCAGTGTCACCCCAAGCAAGGCATTACAACCACTAACACACAAGTGGGTTACAGGGTGTGAAGGAATTAGGGACAAAAACATTGGTAACGAGTAGAAAGAGAAAAAAGCATTAGGAGGACAGTAGGTAGTGATTGGCATTGTATTTAAATTCTTGCAGATTAAAGTTGGTTGGAAAACATGGAGATGGAGTGGAGTTCCACAAGCAAGAGGTGCAATAAAAGAAACTGTTAGTGTAGAAGTTATGGCTACATCTAGCTCAACTGTAAATTGATATGATCTTGCCACCAGTCTAGTACTGCACTCAAATTCATACAGTCTAGCAAAGAGCTCATCTGTACAGTTACCATCAAAGTATTTATAAAAAAGGCACAGAGAGGCAAACTTATGGTGGTGGGCAAGTGACTGAAGCCGAGCTACCAGATCAGGACCAATAATATTGCTGGTTCTTCTTTGGATCTTATCAAGGAGCTCCAGGTAAATTGCAGGGGCACTGGACCATATATGGCAGTAATATTCTAAGCATGGACAAATGGTAGACTTATAGATATGCAAGATAGATTCAGGAGAGAAAAACTGTCTTGCCTGACACAGTGAACTGAGTTTCTTAGCAGCTGACCTAGCAACGGATTCAATATACTCTTTCCATTTCATGTCAGCTGAGAATGTTAGCCTGAGAAGGCACAATGAGTCACTTTCCTGGAGGATAGCATCAGCCATGCTGGTGGAAGGCAGTGAGGAGTTTCTCAGATGATTAATAGAGAGAGTTTTGTTTTGGAGACATTAAAATTGACAATCCATCTTTTGCCCCAATTAACAATGGTTTTGAGGTTGTTTTGTATATCAGCTGCCATTTTGACCTTTTTGGACTGATCAGATTAAGTATTGAGGATGGAGTAAATGGTAGTGTCATCAGCATAGATGCCAAATTGAAAGCTGATGTCATTGGGAAGGTTGTTATGAGCAGTAGCAAATAGGCACCTGTTATGATGACAGCTGTCACACTAGTATAGCTGGAAATAGTGGTTTATGTGTGCTATGGCGGCCAAGCATGCTAGTGTGAACTATGGATAGGATTGCAGTTTCATCTGGTATTTCCGAGAAAGGATGAAAGCATCCATGCTGGCTTTGATCCAAGTGGTGCAGTTTTCAATTGGGAGGTTGAAGATGTCAGTCTAATAGGCTTCATGAAGAAAATCCTGGAATGAGTCCCAATCAGCTTGCTGGTAACTTAAAGAGGTCTTATGGATAGAGGCTTCCTGTTTAACGGATGCTTTGAAGGAGATACCTATAGCTACCACAGACTGGTCTGAGTTACCAAGTGGGTAGTATTGCAAAGCTCAGCAAGAGGAGAGGAAGTAAGAAATAGATCCAGTAGAAAAGCCTATTGCTCAGTTTGGCTAGGGAAACAAGTAGGAAAATCCATGATTTGAGTGAGGGGGTTGGGCAATGGAGAAATTTAATGTCTGTATTGGCAACATCAGTACCTTTGGAATGTTTCAGCCATCTGTTGTGGTAAGCATTAAAGTCTCTGAAGTCTTATGGGGGAGGG